AAGTTAGAGTCACATTAACCCTCCTCATTGCATGTCGCTGATGTAAAGTTGAATTTCTCATGGGCCATTTTCAACACACCACTATCAAATAATTAGAGCATTAGCAGAACCTTATTGGGCATAATACATACTGAGCAGGTTATACAGTAATTTGATTCAGGTATTAGAGCAGGGACACAGGTTGCCCGAGGAAAAAACTTTTTTTTAGGAGGAAAATAATTACTAGCATAACAAATAGGATTCCTGATAGAGATTAGGAGACTCTGCCATAATAGACATTTGAATATCTAATGGTGTGTTCACATCAAAAGCAATTCTACCAATTTTTGAAGTGCTTGTTTGTTGCTGGCTTAAAATGTATTATTTATTACTTCTGCAGCTAAGAAAGTCAATGCTTCAGAGCATAATCAATTAGGGGAAGATTTTATCTACTGCTCACTGGTTTTGTCTAACTTCACAGACTTGGATTTTACTATGTGAGTTACTGTACGTTATCTATTATGGCAAACAAAATAAAGTAGTGTTGGTGTCCATTAGTCCACCAGATCTTCCACTGGATCTTCCAACGGTGGTAAGGTGAGGAGGACACACTCTAGAACAAGAGACTCGGCAGAGAAAACATCAGAAGCTGTAGCAGCATGGGAACAGCTCTGGGGCTCAGGTTGATGAAAATGAATGCTTTAAAACTCCCTCTAAAACCACCCACCGACCTATAAAGAGGCTTCCTTGCTTCATCATATTATATCATCAAGCAATACCTTTCTATCTTCTACTTTGATTGAAAAATAACTATGGCTCAGCTGGACTCCTTCACCCTATACCATGACAACATCTAGTCCCTGAATAGATGATAGTGCACTAATGGATAGAAATTTCCATTTTTGAACTCGTCCCTTATGGGTTTCACTTCACTTTTGCTGCACTCTAATCATCTTTGTGAGGACCCAACTAAAAAAAATTAAACAAGCTTTTATCAGCCAGAAAGTAAGCTTTTCTTTTATATTTGAGTTCACACATCAAAACCTTGACACACATCAAAACCAAGTAGAAGTACAGACTGGATGTAGAGAACAGCCTCAGCTGTTTTTCACAGCTGCTTTGATGAGCTATCCGAGCTCATCAAAGCAGCTTAGGTGTCTTGATGAAAATAAAGCAAAATTTAAATAACAATTTCTGCTCCCAGTTCATTAAGTTTAAATGTGATTATATCGCAGCCCTATTTTTATAAATACAGGTTTATAATATAATTTTATTTTGTACCTATTTAGATTAACTAACTTCCAGGCAACATATTTATGTTTTTTTTTATTTCTTTGAGAAGGAAAGCATAAATAAATATAAAAATGAAATGCTCAAATGTAAAATAGTCTCTATTTTAGTTATTGTTCATTCCACTTTTGGAAAATCATAAATACTTTTTACTGAGGGCTGGACTCAGAACTGGAAAAATTGCCCAAAGGGGAACACACGTCAAACACTTATCTAGAAGGACCTGCTCTAATTTCTAAGGTTGGAATATACAGTAACTTTACCGCTGTAATTGCAATAGTACTAAGATAATAAATATAAGTAACATCACACATTCTTACTCTAAAGAGGAACAGGGGAATTGTAGTGCCAAGGTTAGAGCTATACATACAGTAGTCATATCATGTCTTATTATGCATCAATGGCAAATCATCATCATCAGTAATAGGACAGAATAGTAATGAACCCCAACCAGTATATCCATGGTTGGAATACACAAACTTTCATATTTGTGAGCAAGTCACTAACAAACAGAAAAAAGTTAACAACACAATCAGTTAATCGAATAATGCTGTAGTGCCAAGTGAGCCAGTATTCCAGCTGAGAGCCATTTATGTCTAATGGTACTGTAGTGTTTGGTGGTGTTAAAGTCACTTGGTGCATGTTGTTGCTCTATTGTTGAAATGGATCTGTACTATCTCCCAATACTCTACTTCTCCTGATGATTATATTCCAAATTTGTGTCAATGTAAATGTTTTTAAACCTAGAATAGATAAAATCCTTTTATGAAACCATTTTCAAACTTCCCCATGTTAACAAAACAAAATGGTTACTTTATCTGAAAATACTTTATCAAAGTTTTACTGCATATTTGCCTAGGTTCAGTACAAGCATAAAAACAACCTATATAAAATTCACATTTTGTAAATAAAGAAGTGCAAATAAAGACATAACTACAGTACCTGAATGCCCATGAAGAGAAAAGGCCTCATAGGCTAAGTAAATATAGTGGGCTGTGCATCTTTAAAATTTCAGCCAATCACTGATTTATGCTTTGGAAACACTTCAACACCACCTAAACTTAGCTCTCCATTTGAACAAGAGGGCATCAACAGTGCGAGAAAAGCTGCAGCACAATGGTTGCAAGGTTGACTGCAATGATCTTTCTCACAATAATGCGTAAGTGAACTTATCTTCAAAGAGAGTTACATTTGTAAAACAAATTCTAAGGTAATTGTTGTGAATAGCTCATTGACTTATTTCTTTTTTCCACAGCTCTTATTCATACCCTTCAGCCTTCCCGCCTCATCCCTTTAACTGTGGTTGACGTCGGTGATAATGTTACATTTCACTGCCACATTTTGGAGAAGGATCTTAAATTTGTTTACTGGTATAAACAGTCTCTTGGTTATATGGTTGAAAAAGTAGCTAGTGTAGTTTTAGGTAAATTGGAGGTATATAAAAAATTTAGAGCTTCTGGCTTTGACATGAGAGCAGAGGGAGGTCATTATGATCTCACAATCACAAATGTGACCAAAGAGGATGAAGCAACATACTTAAGTCACGCTGGGACAACATATTCACAGACGTTCATCAATGGCATTTTCCTAGCTGTGAATGGTAAGATGTAGTTTGTTGGCTGTCAAATTCCTGGAAAGGTGTTGTCTTTGTTTATAACGGGTATATGTCTTCTTTACCATGTTTTTGCTAACTCTGCAGATCATAAACAGCAGAAATCGCTATATTTGGAACAACATCCCACGACTGAGTTGGTTAAACAGGGAGACGCTGTAACTCTTCAATGTTTTATTCTTTCAAAGAACAAAGAAAGAGT